TCTGGAAATGGATCTCATTAAATTGGGCAAGCATAACTAATGTTTTGATGAACGGTGGTTTGCATTCTGACGCAATCGCAGTCTACACAATATGTACATTATTGGGACACATCTGTTAATTAATAATCACTCATATAGTTTTGCTATGGCCAGAGCCTTTTTGGACTATTCAACTACGGAATATTCCCTTTGAAACCTACCAAGCCAAATAGTTTGAAATTTGAGTTACTGCACATTTAAGAACATCAAACAAACTGAAAAGTGTGATCTGGAATTCAACTGAAGGGGGCAGCACTCTTCCAACTCTTTGCAGCCTTCGACTCTCAACTGAACAGGAGCCCTCAAGTACAGTATTAGAACAGTGGTTTTAAGAGGTACCGAACCCATCCACTTCATTGTTGGAGGTACCGAACCCAACCAGTTCATATGCACATTCACCGAACCCTTCATTAGGGAAAAATAAAAATATCGTTCAAGAAGTGTTCCTTCAGTTTTGAGTTGCTCAATTTAGTATGATTATATCATGCAGATACGACGCTGAGTCCCATCACATTACGTGATGCATGTGAATCAATGTTGTGCATATTCTTCTGACCACTTTATTTTTACTCGACATAGTTAGCATGTATTAAAAAAATATTTAAAAAAAAATCAAATGACGTACTAACACGACAGTCACTCGTTGACGACTGAATGAACACATTTTTTCCTCAGCACGGGTTGGACAAGCAATGTAATGTGATCATCTGCAGCCAGTGGTGGCCAACCGGGCGTGTCATAACTAATTGACATCTTGAGTCGGGTGTGTCTTAACCTCCATGCCTCCGTCGAACCCCTGAGACCGATTCACCGAACCCAGGTTGAGAACCACTGTATTAGAGTGTGATGTAGAGTGGGCTGGACAGACCTAGTCTTGAAAACAATTGTCACCTGTGAAATCAGTGAGTGAAGGACTACTCTCGAGGATTGCAATAGTTAAAACGAGGGAGGTTTCATCCAGATTAGAGTACCCTTTTCAGAACGGAAGGGAACCTTTCGACTCCTCAGGATTGTTTGAGCACAATAACTACTTTGGATTTAGATTCGAACACTGTTGGACACAAACAGCAGAGGTGATTGTGGTTGTTTAAGTATGACTTGGATATCTACAGTATATACAAGATTGATATTTGTAACGATAAATACATCTGGCACATGTGACCTTGACTCACAGGAAGTGAAAAATGAAGAGCATAAGGATGTCGTCTCCCCTTCACAGCAGCTTCTTTTCACTTCTTTCCCATTCATCCAGAAGAGGCAGGGTAAGTAAATAAAAATAAATACATGTATTTATCTCACACATTTCATACGCAAAGCAAATCAATGTGCTTCACACAACTAAAAGCAAAAACAACAGCTGAAGACATTCAAAGGCAAAGCAAAGAGAACAAAAGAAGCTTATTAAAATTCCTAAAACAACGTACATTGACAACATTTAAACATATTTACAAACAAATTATTTAAAGACATTGAAAAGTATAGGAAAGAAATCAAAGGTAGCCATTTGAAATTCCTAAAAGACTTTATTTTGAAATTCCTTTTAAAAATGTTTGAAAGATCTTAATCAAAGGCTGTGAAAATAGCATTATTTTTAACCTGGATTTAAAAGCATCTATACTTGGGGCTGACCACACTGCATTTGCATGCACCATAACAGCTAAATGCCGCTTCACCATGTTTGCTTTGAAACCTGGGCGTAATGTCAGTCCTGAGAGAGTCTCAGGTGGCTCTGGTCCAATCTCTGCTCTAACAGGCTTGTTCTTCCTCTCCAAACTCATCCAAGCTTTCCTTTACACACTTTTCTTTTTACACCAAGAAAAAAATGTGTCTTTTCAAAACTGTTTCCAGAACAGTGAAAGGGCTATTGGCCAAGTGGTGATAGATTTGTATATCAAGAACTGTGTATCAGTACTTTTGTGCCTAGAGTGTATATGCCATTAAAATGACAGATCTACTTAACACTGGCACACACTTAACAACGGCAGCAGCATGAAATTTCTAGCCAGGGCTGGACTGGCACAAAAAAAAAAAAATTGTGCTGGCATGCCCTCATGTGTGTACACACATTCCTATGTTTGCAATCCCATTTGTAACTTAAAAAAAAACATTGTCAACACTCACCTCAGGGTTTTGTGAAATAAAATGCACTCATATCCAGAACTTTGCTCAACACACTCATAACACAAGCAGGAGCAAGCCTAAATAACAAGTAACGTTTTGGCGATCTTAATTTACTAAATAATGCAATTTGCGACAAAACCCCCCACAAAAACTGTTGATGAACATGTGGCAACAGTTTGGTGAACATGTACGTCCTTGACTGAAACCTGATGAGTACGCAACATTTGCTACTTTTGAAAACACTCGCAATGATGCGAAGCTCAGTGTGATAGGGGCTTTAAACAAAGCAACGATAAATAAAATGCCACTCTTGAGTAAATTATGATCAGCTAAATGTTTCTTTCTATTAGACTTGGACTCTCGACTTGAGGGGGTAATTTAAAAGGAAAATAATAATGAAATACCACCACATCAGCCCCAAAAGATGCCGGCCCACCAGGCGTCTGCCCTGTATGCCAAATGACCAGTCACAACCCTGTTTCCACCCAATTCACATTCGTCGTTCGAATGGGTGACATTTATTTTCAAATATTGAGTTAAAATCAGAAGTTTTGCTCATCTAAACATTGATCATTCCTCTGTCATCACACCAGTGCTTAATGGCCGGCAGCCATGAATATTAGATACACTTCCCCTCACCCTGCAGCACAAATGTGATGAGCCAGCCTTATGCCACTGGAAGCAAACAAAAGTGCAGTGTGATTATGAGCCTGGTGTCAGAAATGTAGGAAGCTAATTAATTCATTCTACTCAAAAGATAGACAAATGTGAACGCTCGCAGTAATGAGACAAATGGCGTAAGGGTGACGATCATAATAACAATTCACCAAGTCACTCTATTTTACGAGCATTACAGTATATTTATGATTGTCGGTGACATAATGACAGCAGACATTCCCTGGAGGGAGATGAGCCCCAATTTCAGCATAGTAAAGGGGATGTTTGGTCACAAGCCATTAGTATGTTTGAGAGAGAAAGAGAGATAGAGAGAGGCGAGGGAGGGGAAAAGAAGGACTGAAAAAGAGCAGAGGCGCTCTTCATCCTCATACACGAGAGGAGACCTCTTCTCGTGCCCATTGGGCTCCGAGAATCTCAAAGTTTATTCCGGTCCAGTCTCTCCTTCTTGTGAGACCATGAATATTTTCAACACATTTACATGCTTGTGACGACAATTACATCATTGATATAAGTGAGGAAGATAAGCATCGTGAAAGGAGGAAGGAGTCATGGCCGGGGACTTGGTGGTCGGGATGCTGTACAACTTATTGCTGCCACTCACCCTGCTAGCTGGTGAGTCTTACCATGCTTGAGCCAGAAACAAATCATTAATAAAAGAGAGAGGATACCGAAACAAATCACTGTATTTTTTGCAAAATTTACAAGAATCTATATGCATGGTTAAAGACAAGCATGATGCATCCCACCGTGCATGGATGATCTTTCTCATGTATTCCAAAATATAAAAGGATACAAATCCAGCCAATGGTCATTGTCCAATTTGTTTTAATTTCTTTCAATTGTTTCCCTTAGGAAACAATGGCAATAATCCTTTATAGTGTCTTTTAAGGGATGCAAGGACGCCTAATATGCAGGGATGCCGAACAATATTTAATGTCTTAATCAACATGTATCCAGTCCTTCACAAACTTATTAGCTCATCTGTCAACAAAATGAGAAGAGATCGTCCAGCATCATGTAATATGGTAATGCTGACTATTTCAAATTCAGTAAACACTCACTGTGTTCTACTTTTGACAGAAATGACGAATTTCGAACTGAATTCACCTTTAATACACGCATTTGATCTTTCATGACGAGTCAGAAATAATCATAATATTCCCGCCCCGCAAGAAGAGTGTTCGCAAATTCAAACAAGTAAATATAATATAAATTAAATATTTTATTGAACTCATGATGTATTGTTAAGCTCCCTTCTGTGAAATAAATCAGATCTATATTACGATTCCTGCTCCTACTATTCATAATCAATAATAACTAATAATAATAATT